CCAAACCCATAGGCTTATTCCCCGAACCATTGGAAGCTGAATCATCAGCCCCAGTCCTAAAAGATAAAAGGCTCAGCCTGGTCGAACAGTTTACTGGAGGCAGCTCAGCTGGGAAGCGGCAGGGCTGGAACCTGAATTCAAGTTGTAGCAACAACTATGAAAACAGTTAACTTGGGGCGCCTGGGGGGCTCAGTCAGCTGAGCGTCTGACTCCTGATTTAGGCTCAGATCTGGATCTTAGGGTCGTGAGATCAAGCCCCTTGTTGGTCTCCGCACTCAGCATGAAGTCTGGTTCAGGATTCTCTGTCTCCCACCCGCTGTCCCCTCTCACTCGTGCTCTTTCTCAAATAAATAAATCTTAAAAAAAAAACAAAAAAAACCCAGATAACTTGCTGGGGGTTATGCTAAATCCTTTTCTTTTTTTAAGATTTTATTTATTTATTTGACAGACATCACAAATAGGCAGAGAGAGAGGGAGGAAGCAGGCTCTCCGCTGAGCAGAGAGCCCGATGCAGGGCTCAATCCCAGGACCCTGGGATCATGACCTGAGCTGAAGGCAGAGGCTTTAACCCACTGAGCCACCCAGGCGCCCCCTAAATCCTTTTTTTAAAAAAAGATTATTTATTTTAGAAAAAGAACGTGGGGGGTGGGGTGGGGCAGGGGCAGAGGGAGAGAAAATCTCAAGCAGTCTCCATGCTGAGCACGGAGGCTGACTCGGCACTTGATCTCACAACCTAGAGATCATGGCCTGAGCCGAACCCAAGAGTTGGACACTGAACCGACAAAGCCACCCAGGTGCCCCTAAGTCCTTTAAAGTACCACCTTATTAAACTCTCTTAGTGGCCTCTGTCTATGGGGTAGATATTATCGTCCTTCCTATCTCACAGACGAAGAAGCGGGTCTGAGAAAAATGGAGTGAGCCACCCAGAATCATGAAGCTAGGAAGTTTCAGAGCTGGTCTTGAACCCGAGTCTGCCTGGGCTGATGCCCAGCTCTGTGTCTGACTGTTCACTGCCCTCCATGGTCTCAAGCATCAGAGACCTGGCCTCCCCAGCCTGCCCTGCGAGGCTGGAGCTCTGCGAACTCCAGAGGCAGGCAGTCTGAGAGTCGGATTGGCTCATCTAGAGTGAGCTGTGCTGGTTATTTTATTTATTTTATTTTTTAAAGATTTTTATTTATTTATTTGACAGCATGAACAAGCAGGGGGTAATAGCAGGCAGAGGGAGAGGGAGAAGCAGACTCCCCACTGAGCAGAGAGCCTGATGCGGGACTTGATCCCTGGACCCTGGGATCATAATCCGAGCTGAAGGCAGACGCTTAACCCATAGAGCCACCTGGGGGCCCCTGAACTGGTTATTTTATTTTATTTAAGATTTTATTTATTTGACAGACAGAGATCATAAGTAGAGAGGCAGGCAGAGAGGAGGAAGCAGGCTCCCATCAGAGCAGAGAGCCTGATGCAGGCCTCTGGGATCATGACCTGAACCGAAGGCAGAGGCTTTAACCCACTGAGCCACCCAGGCGCCCCTCCACTGGTTATTTTAAAGAAGCGATACAACCCCGGGACTTCTGTGGTCTGCCTCAAACTGTCCACGTCCTGTGAACGCGTGTGTGCGTGTCTGTCCTGAGAGAGTGTGCACGTAGCCTCTGTCAGAAGTGTCTGATTCTGTGGAATGGGAGAGAACACAAGGAACATCCCCAAGGCCTCAGATGTCCTCAGCCTGGCTGTCACCTGCCTCTGCTTGGGCTCAAGCATGGCCTTCCACGAGGGACTCCGGGAGAGGGACAGCACGCCCAGTCGGGCTTGCAAAGGTGAGTCCCCTCAGTAAGCAAGACCGGGACAGCTTGGGTCCAGTATTGCCAGGAAGACTCCCAAGCCCGGGCGAGGGAAGGGAGGGATGAGCCACAAATCCTTCCAGGTGCTGATTTATGTAGCATTCATGTGGAATTTATTATACAAGGAATTTTATTCAATTAAACTTGAAGTGTGTCTGGATTCTTAAAGGTTCAGTAGTGATAACTGGGACAGAGCGATCATAAAAGTGGATGGGCTGTCGGAGGAAGGTGTCGTGGGGGAGGAGGCGAGGGTGACATTGCAGCTGACGGGAGATTCGGAACCGGGACGTTTGTCATTGGGATGTGTTACAAGTTCAGGCTGAGAAAATTACTCGGTGAGAAACGCACATTAACAATAGCCAGGAGATATCAGTTAAGGGAAACTAGGTTGAGAAATGAGACAGGAGAATCTATTAGCGTCTGACATTGTTCTTGGCGGCCCAGGTCGTGATTAAAATGGCTGTCAAGGGATGCTGGTGGGGGGGCAGTCGCAAGGCCCCGTCCTGGGCTGGCTCCTTGGTGCTGACTTCCTGACTGACTCCCGCAGACAAGGAAGGGGCTTCCCTCGAGGCTCAGTCTTCTCCCCTGCAGAGAGTGCCCGTTTCGGGGTCGCTGTGAAGTTTGAACGAGCATGCGGTCTGTGGGGTCCCTGGTTCGGGGCCTGGCCGGCAGTAAACCCCTCCCGGGTGCTGGCTGGTGTGAGGATTCTCTCACTATCCAACCACCAGCGGGGGAACTAAATGTGTCCCCGCCCCGAGAGCCTGGCGAGGCAGGGGAAGGCAGGTGAGCCAGCATACTGGAGCGCCCATACCCCAGAAGTCAGGATAAATAGAATTTTCACATGCTATTTTTTTAAAATCCAAGTATGCAAAGGACCTATGATCAACAAGGACTCACACGTTTTTAACTTTTTTTTTTTTTAAGATTTTATTTATTTGAGAGAGAATGAGTGAGAGAGAGCATGAGAGAGGAGAAGGTCAGAGGGAGAAGCAGACTCCCCAAGGAGCTGGGAGCCCAATGGGGGACTCGATCCTGGAAGTCCGGGGTCATGACCTGAGCCGAAGGCAGTCGCTCAACCAACTGAGCCACCCAGGCACCCTTAATTTTTATATTTAAGTACGCTCTCTGCCCAACATGGGGCTCGAACTTACGACCCCACGATTGTCGCACACTTCTCCAACTGAGCCAGCCAGGCGCCCCGAGGCCTCATAATTTTAAGTAAAAGCAGCCCACTGTTTTCTTGCTGGAGCCTGCCCTCAGGTGCAAGGGGGCTAGATCTTGGAAGCTTTCCCAGCCTGGTGCAAACCTTCAGGCCCCCACGGGCTTTGTGCCTAGTGGTGTGTGTTGATGGCGGAGTTTTGCGTTCACATTTCCCCGCCAGGCTCCAGATACGGGAGGCTATTTTGGGGAGTACATGGAGTGGTGCGCAGGCTGCCTTTTTCTTTGGGCTCCGCAAGGCACCGCAGAGGAGCTAATGTTCCCATCCAGTCCATTCTCCGGGCCCGCGGAGCTGGCCTGCTGTTTTCCCCAGGCTGGTGATGCGGGGGGCCCCTCCCGAGCTGCCGAATGGGCCCTGCGCCCAGGCCATGTCTGGGGGCATGTCTGCGGGCCAACGCCAGGAGGAGGCTGAGACAGGGCCTGGGGACCAAGAGGGAGAAAGTCAGGCCTGTGATGGCTCCTCCCGGCAAGGGCTGCTGGGGTCCGGGATCCAGCAATAGGCCGACTGCTTTGTTTCGAAGGCTCCCTCGATGCTGTATTGGCTCACAGAGCTTCTCTTGTCCTTCGCAGGGTGTCTTACCATGACTAGGGGGTGTATTTCGGTAACTATGAGTTTCGGTAACTATGTCCTGCTCCTTCCAGCAGGATCTGAAGGGGCAGGCAGAACTGAATGAGGGGAGTGGGTCCCTGTCCCTTCGGCGAGCTCCTGCCGCCCCAGCCTGAGCACCGAGCCCCTCCTGACATGCTGGTGCCTTCGAGGCGTTCAGCTCTGCCCCCCAGCACTGAGCACCTGCAGTGTACCAGGCCTGGTGCTAGCCACTGGGGGGCCCTCACCCTCACCCACGCTCGCTGGGGCCTTGGCCACGCCATCTTGGCTAAAGAGGGTCAGTGTGTCCTGCTGGGAACCCAAGGACGGACCCAGCAGGACGCACTGTCCCTGTTCCTCCGGCAAAACTAGCAGGCACGTGGTGGTGGCAGTGAGAGCCAAAGTCTGCACGTGACTGATGGTCTCTGTGGTCGCGGAGCCGCTGGCCAGGAGCCAGTGTGACCAGGCTCCCTGAGCCGGGCTGGTGCCTGGCGCTGAGCTGGGGCTGCTCGGTGAGTGAGTGATTGCTGCCGGAGTTCACCAGGCGGCTCGGCCCTGACAGGTTCGCAAGAGCCTGCCCTTCCGGAGTCATTTCCTGCCATTAGCAGCGTGCTGTCTTCACGTTCTCGGGGCCGCCTCCTTGCCCTGCAGAAGTATCCCCTTCCCAAGGACACAGCTGGCACTGGCAGAGTTGTTTCGTGTGGGGGCAGGGGGTGCGGGTGCCGGGGTGACAAAAGAAATGAAGTACAGCCATGGCATGGATCTCAGAGGCCGAGACCAGCAGAGAAAGAAATCCTCTGCCGAGCAGTGCTGTTCCCTCTCACCAAGGTCTCTGCTCCTCGTCCCTCAGCACTCCCCCACCAAGGAAGGCAGGCTCCCCTCCAGGAGGGTGGTCGGTCTCTGGGCTTCCCCCGTGCTGTGCACACCCCTCGTGGGTCTGAACTGTCCCCCCCACGCCCCCCCCCCCGTCATGGGTGGGGATGGTGGCTCAGAGGCTACCAAACTGCCAAATCCCCTCTGCCTTCCCCTTTAGAAACGTGACATTTACAGTCTGCGTGGCCGAGCTAAATCTCAAGTCCATTTCCAAGGGCCTCCGGTTCCATTCCAAATCCCCACGGCCCCTGGGCTTGCAGCGGGCGCACACACGCACATGGCTCCAGCTTGTCCCACTTTTATTTTTTTCTACGTGGCTCTTCCTTGCAGCAGTCACTTGACCTGACTTTCGGCAATACTCCATTCATTCACTCCCACATCCTCTGTGACCTGGGAAAGGCCAGGGGAGCAGGCAGGAGGCTCGTGCAGCCCCACCCCGGCCAGGATCTTCAGGAATTGGGACAGGAAGGATACACCCTTCACCTGCGGGAGAGGTCTGCAGATCTCCCCACTTTGCGTTATTTCCACATGCCTCAGGCTTTGTCCGACGGGTCATTTTTCTTGTATATTTTTTCCTGATTCCCCTCTTTCATGGCCGCATATCTGGCTAACGTGAAGAGATAGTCGCTGAGTCTGGAGGGACAGAGAGAAGTCAATGGGATGATTTGAAATGAGAGATCAATGCTAACTGGGTCCTTCCCATGTTAGCCTTCAAGGAGGAAATATAAATCAAGCCCTAGGAACACTGGGCAGGACAGGGGTACGCAGCCAACTCGGCCTTGATGGATGGCCCTCCAGGCCCTCTTCTGTGACTCAGGTGACAGGGCTGAGGCCAGTGCTGCTGGACGAGGCTGCTACCCCCACCCAACCTCACAGGGCTGATGCACCTAATGGCTGGTTCCTGCACCTGCCAGCAACTGGGACTGAGACACCCCAAACTGGAGAGGCCCAGCCTGCCCTTAGGATGGCCGCAATGAGTTCAGAAAGCCGCCTACCTCTCAGTGGTTCCCCCACTTCTCCTTGTTCCCATGTTGAGCACTGACCACCACGCTCCTCCTCCTCTCCCGCCCCAATCCTACTCTCTTGAGGCCAGCTCCGTGCCAGGTCCTGCTGGAACCTTCCCAGACCCACGTTCCCACTGGGATCGTGCCCCCTCTGCCAATGCCTGACTGTCTCTCTGGGGGTGGGGGTTGGGACCAATGGAAGAGATTCTGCTCTGGGGGTCCCCCCCTCCTGGAGGGTGGTGACATACTTTTATCTCACGTGCTCAGTGCCACTTTCCTTGCTGAGGGAATGAACTGGCTCGGCCCACACACTCTGGACTATAATGTTCCCCAAAGATCACTGCCATGATGAGGAATGGAACCTTCCTCATTCCCTTCGGGCCCACCCACTTCCCAGGAAGAATGGAGCTGCTTGGGTCATAGCCCAGTGGGAAGAGTGACCACAGCAAGGGGCCAGACCCTGGCTGTGAAGTCACTTTCTGGACACCCAGGACAGCTCCCAGGGGCCCCTGGGTTCTCAGCCTGCCCCTGGGCCCCCAATTGCATTAGCCAAGGCTTTAACAGAATCTGGTGGAGCCTCCTCAGGGCCAGCCCAGCTCACCGAGTCCTGTGCAAGGGGGCCCTGGGCTCGGATGGCCCTGAACCCGCTTGGCCGTGCTGTCTCTTCTCAGTTCACATGGCCCCGGGGCCTTGCAGGGAGGGGCTGAGAGATCCCAGCCTGAGCTCCCTGGTCCCTCAAACCTGAAAGTGGGCCCCTTGCTACACACTGTCCCTTTGTTTTTATGTTTTGTGCTGCCGGTTTTTTAATAGCCTCTCACAGTGAAATCGTCACCTCCCCAGGGAAAGGGACGGTGCCTGCCTTGTTCTCAGCAGCATCCCTGTGGCTGGCCCAGCACCCAGCACGTCGCAGACCCTCCATGGGTATGAAAGGAATGAAGGAGCATGTGGAGCCCCTGGCCTTATTGTTACTTGCCACAGTGGGCCTAGTTTTTCAGAGGGAGGCCTGGGATGCCCCAAATTCCATCTGAGTACCTGTTTAAGAACTTGGCCACGTTAGCGTCCGTCTCACCCATCTGGACAAGGGGCACCACACTGTAAGGAGAGGAAACACCACATCACGTGCACTCCGGGGTCCCGGGGCTGGGTCCCACGCCAGCTGCTCCTTGCCGGTCCGGGTGCAGACGTACCAGACAGTGGACTGCCATCTGCCCTTGCTAGGCCCCTCCTGCACGTCCCCTCTGCCGCAGAACACTTGCTGGGAGGTGCTCCCCCCAAACCAAGGCTCTCCGTCTGTGGCCCCTGCCCAAGTGGCTTTTCCATCCCTTAGGCATGTCTCTACCTCCCTGTCCTATGTACCGAGGACCCATCCTCCGTAGGGGGCCCATGGCTGGGCCTTTGGGTTTCTCCAATTTTTTGCTATTATAAGCACTGCCGAGGTGGCTAGTTTTGTACAAATAACTGATTTGTTCTTTTGAGGCCGGAGCTCTGTTACCCGGGAGCTCTGTTACCCAAGATCGCTCTGGCCAACTGCTTGGGCCCAAGAACCTTCCATGAGTGAGGAAAGTTTGATGATGGGAGGCTGTGGACAGAGCTCAGCTCGGGAGCAGCTGGCTCACCGCCCTGGCCAGACGTCACCTCTCTGAGCTCCAGTTCCCTGACTCCTGTATGCTGGGGGCTGCGACCGCCTCTCTGCCAAGGTTATCACGTGGCACCAATGAAATAAGGAACAGGAAGTGCCCAGCACAGCCCTGCCGACTCTCCAAGTGGGGCTTTCCTTCCACTTCTCTGGAAAGCTGGCTGGCAGCTGCTCTCCGTGTCCATGGAGGCTTTGCTGTGAGCTCTTTTAAAGTTTCTCTGAAAAGGCTGTTGGGAGCTCTTGGGGGACCCCCCCACACCTGACTCCACGTCAGAGGTGTCGGCACAGTGGCTGGTGGGTCTGTGGCGAGCTTCCCCCTTAGGCCCCCCAGAGCCACAGGGGCTCCTCTGGGTTCTTTTCTACCCAGCAGCCGGCAGGGTCCCTTCATGTCACCCCACGGCCTAAAACCCATCATCCATGGCTTCCTGGGGCTCTCAGGACAGAGGCAGACCCCTCTGCACCGATGAGGCCCCGCAGCCTCTGGTCTCACTGTGCCCCACACGTTCTCGCCCTGGACCCTGACACTCAGCTTCCTTTGTGTCCATTCTGCGCAGGGTCACCTCTGCCCCGACTATCCCCTCACACCGAGCACTGCCCCTCCCCACCCCCCACAAGCCTTCAACTTCTGCCTCACAAGGCATCCCTGTGCCCACACACGTCCTTCACAGCCCTGCTGATGGTGTGATGTCCCCTGAGGACAGACACCTGGTCTGGCTGGTGGCCACCTGGTATGGCAAAAATGGCAGGCGAAGGTCTGTCCACTGCCGGCTGCAAGGCATGGAGCCAACGCCCCCGGGGCCTGCCCCGTCCTCTCCCTCGGCCCCCTTACCGTCTCTCTGCTCGGCGACACACAGCCCGGCAGAAGTGCAGCACAGAGCTGCTCTTGCCTCCCGACTGCAAGGAGAAAGTGGGTGTTGGCAGGGGTGGAGGAGGTGGGAAACCGGTGTGGGGGGGCAGGCGTGCCCACAGCAGCCAGATGGGCTGGCAGATACATAGGGCCCTGTACCAGTGGGCAGTGTTCTGCTTCCAGGGGCCCTGCAGGGGTGGGGGAGAGACTGGTGAGGGTCTGGAGGGGACTCGAGAGGCTGGGGGGCGGCTTCTGTCACCGGCAAAAATTAAAGAGAGGACTCAGTCAATGTCTGCGTTTCCAGGAACACGCCTGGCTGGCAGCCACCCTCTGGGTGAGACCCCGCAGTGCCCACCGGCAGGATGAAGGCTGTGAGTGGGGGCAGCTGGCTGGAGTACTTGTCGATCCACTGCTCCAGCTCCAGGATACACCCTGCCTCGAGTGCGGCGTGTCCTGAGGGATGGAGAAGCAGAAAGACACGGCCATGACATCCACGGCCCGCCAGACCAAGGAAACCACCCCTGCATCCCTTCTGCCCAGATGTTCTGCAAACCCCTCCCATGGGCTCGGGAGGTCCTTCCTTCTCAGGGTGTAGGGGCCAGGCTGCCAGGGGACCCAGGGGACACCCAGGACAGAGTCCCCCCCACACCACCTCGGGCCCTCCGAGCACAGAGACATTACTTAAGTGAGCCTCCCTGGCTGAGGAGCGTGGCGTGGCCAGAGCAGAGCCGACATCCTGCAGCGAGCACTGGATCTGGGGAAGCAAAACAGGGCGAGAATGAAGATCCACTTGCGGCAGGCCAAGCAGAGATGACGGGCTCCGCATGCAGAGGTGCTCCCTGGGCGGGCCTGGCGGGGACGCTCCGATCCCTTAGCTAGCCGGCATTTGGAGGCTGATGAATTAACAAGGTTGGCCTGAACCCTATGCACGCCAGCTCTGCTGAGCGGGGCCCTGGGTCCCTCAGGGATACCTGGGTCACACCAATGAGGAGTGACAAGCACCCAGTGACGGCCCAGTGACAGGTATCTTCTCAACCTGTCTTCACCTCCCTCGTGCCTAGGGCCCTCGAGGTTTTTCCCTTTTCTCTAAACTGACAGCTTTGGTTTTCCACTGTAGGACAGCTGAGCCAAGACCCCAAACATGACAGTGCTTTCTAAACCACGAAGGACGAGCATCTGGGAGAACGTGGTCAGCCCCTGCATGACAACGAGCCACAGGCACCCGTGCCAAGGACACCCGCAACACCACCTTGGACCCCGTGCCTAGCCAGAGTCCACTCAAGCTGCATGGAGGGCTGTCGGGTGGGTGGGAGCCTGCGGCTTCTGTGAACACAGTCACGGTGACAGCCTGCCAGGAGCAGGACATGGTGGAGGAGAGCAGAGGCCGCCCACCCAGCAGCGGACAGGAACCCTCCTTGGGCTGCGACTTGGGTGAGTTACTTGAGTGAGCCTGGTGTCTCTGGGGCTTCCGGGGGGAGGCAGGATAACAATATTACCCCAGGGCTTGGCCTCCTGCAGCGTCTGCCCCTAGGACTGGAGGGAGCTGGCACCGGTTTGGGACTAGGACCCCAGCTCTAGTTGATTCCTGACCGGCATCCCCATGCAACATGGACAATGACCTCCAGCTCAAGTGCTTTTGCGAGGAGGGCAAGGCCCAGGCAGCGCTCCTGGGTAAAAACTCACAGGCTGCACCCTCAGGGGGCCCTGGCCAGTGGGGAGACAGACGGATAAGACCATCTCACCATCTTGGTGGTGCCCGCGGGGGGCCAGATGAGTAGCCCAGGCCCCAGAGGAGGTGATGTCGATGCTGTGACCCAGAGGACAAGGGCCTCAAGCACAGGTCAGCTCATCATGTCACTGGCCCACCTTCCCAGACTTTTCCCTCTGCAAACTCTGCTCAGAGATGAGCACATCTAGAAATGACCACAGGGGATATGGGGATATGACCATTTCTCCATTGTGAGGCTACAAACTATCCTCCAGTGCACAGAGGGGCCTTGTTCATAGAATGTTCCAGCAATTGAAGCCTCCCATCCTTCTGCAGCCCCCTCACTACCCTCCATCTGTTCCCAGGAGCCTAAGTGAGCTCTGGCCTGGCCTGGAGGACTGCAGTAGGCTTAGGGCTGACCTGCAAGGAGCAGTTTCTAGTCTCGGGTCACCCTGTAGACTGTAACCTTGTCTTGCATGTTTGGGGGTGGGGGGCGTGTCCCTCTCCACTGCCGAAGGCCTGTCTGGGGGCCAGAGCCTCTATGCTTCCTAAGTTGCATAACACGAATACTAACAGCCACAAAGTCCGAGGGTGGAGGGCTTACTGAAGCTGGCCTTCCTGGCTTTCTCCAGCCCAGAGGCTGCTGATGTCCGGGCCCGGAGCACTCTCTGGTGTGGGGGCTGTCCCATGCACTGTAGGATGTTACCTGCGTCCCTGGTCTCTGCCGCCCAGATGCCAGGATCGCCCCACCTCCACTTGTAACCACCAAAAATAACAATAGATGCTGCTGAGCATCCCCTGGGAGGGGGCAGAATTGCCCTGGGTCAAGTCCACGGCACATGACACTTGCCCCCCAGGTACTGGCCTCACCACCTGCCTGGGAGGGAGGATGGTGTGTGTCCCTGTTTGGCAGGTGGAGAAACTAAGGCTCCCAGAGAAAGAGCGATTAGCCCCGGGTGGCAGAGAGAGGAAGAAATGGTCACATGGCAAGTGCGGTCACGGCCGCCTGGCCGCACGGATAATAGCCCAGTGTGGGGTGAGACGGTATTACTTACTTTCTGAAGCTCTTCAGCAAACGGGTGGCCTTTCTCAGTGATGAATTCCAAAGCAAACCTATGAGGAAAAAGAAAAGAATCTACCTCTAACAGAACGTGCCTGGGCCCTGCCTTACATGAGGCAGCCAGTTTGCTGGGGCGGGTCACCCAGCTAATACTGCTCAAACACATGGGGTAATTTTCTTGCTGACAAGAAGAATGTCAGAACCTTTCACTTGGTTAGCAGACGTGTGTTGCTCAAAATGCCTTTTCTCATACCCATTACTCAACCAGTCAATGCTTCCATTTTCCGTGCCAACTCCGGCCCAGTCCAGGCAGGTCTGTATGAGCGCAAGGGACACAGGCTCTGTTCGGCAGGACAGGGAGATGACTGCATGTGAACTGAGGTCAGCACTCCGGAGGAAAGGGCCGGAGTCCTGTGAGCCTGGCCTTGGCTGGGGTTCAGGGAGGGCTTCCTGGAGGAAGCAGTGCTAGAGGTGGGACTCTGAAGGCTGAGTAGGAGTTCCCTGGGAAGGCAAGTGGGACGGGGAAAGCCAAGCACCCCAGGTGCAGATCAGGACCCCAGCTCCTGTTTCCCTCCAAACTCTGCACCCTCTCTCTGCACCAGGCAGAGTCCCGGCAGGGAAAAGTCAGCGGTGCCTTCGCAGGATTCCTGGAGGAAAGGATGGCAAAGGGACTATCAATAGAGTATGGGAAGAGTTCTGGAAACTGACACTGGGTGGCAAAGATGAGGAAAAGTAGGGGCCTGAAGGGGCAAGGGAGGGTCAAAGGTGTCACCACCCCAGGAGAGCTGGAACCCCAATGTGCAGCTGGCTGGGCGAGAGTCGCTGGGGAGCAGGAGCAGAAATGCTCCCACACCTGCCTCCACTAATGTCCCATCTGCTGGTGCCTCCCATTGGCTGGACCCACCCAGAAGCTAAAGAATGAGGGGACTGGGGCTGACAGTGTTACCACATGATGCAGGCCACGTCCTGGGCACACCAGCGAAGACAAGAGTGAACGGCCTCCGAAGGGCCAATGAAGAACCCCCAGGGCGCCTCGGTAGCCCATCTCACAGTGAGAACTAAATAGACATATGTGTCATTTATCATCTAGTGTGGGACAGCTCTGTAGGCTGGACACGTCTGCCCTGGGCACAGCACTAGCCTCCTGCCTGGCACAAAGCAGGGGCTCATGTCCCTACGACACAGGCCAGACATTGGCCCCTCCTAGGAGGTTAGCGGCATCAGGCCCCCACTGCCTGCAGATGTCCCTCTAGTGTCTGTCTGCTCCCCAGCCCCAGAGCTGGGCTCTGGGAGCATGGGCTCCATGGAGCACTGGGGCTAAGGCGCTCTCCTGGGCATGCCTGGCACATGGAGATGCTCGTTCACGTGCTGACAAAGAAGCCACCGCTGAGGCATCCCCGGTCTCCTGCCCACACGGACTGGGGGCTGATGGTTTGCTGAGTTGCTTGACTCAAACTGTGGATGCACACCTCACCATCCTACCCCTCGGCCCACATCATCTGGTATCTGCCTCTCCCTGCCGCCCTCACACACAGACCAAAGCGTCTGCCTTCTCTACTCTGCTGGCCAACCGTCTGCATCTGCCATTATCCGTCCTGAGCACCTCACCTAGTACTCGCCTGAAGAGTGGGGGAGCTGGGGGTGGGGTGGGGCGAGGCAGCTTCAGACAGGAGCAGGCAGGGCAGAGGGAAAGGAGCCTACAGCCCAGGAGCCTCAGGGACCAGAACACAGGCCCTGCACCACCAGGCCAAGGCGGGTTCCTTGAGGGCTGGCAGCCCGAAAGACCAGCCAGCACTCTTGGGAGCTTCGCGTGAATTACGCAGACTGAAGCCAGTTCAAAATCAACCTCAAGGCCAATCCCGTTGGCCTTACCCAATAGCTGAACTTAATTCATCCGTTGTTCCCACAGCTTCAAACACTTGGTCATCTTTCGATCTCCTTTCTCCAGTGAAGGTGCTAGAAAACCCTGTGAAAAAATGTTTAGCCACTCAAGTGAAGATTTTTAAAATTTTTTTGATATGCTCCTTTTAAAAAAATTTTCCAGTAAGTAAATAAAATTTTTTTTTAAAAAAGAGGGGGGGCGCCTGGGTGGCTCAGTGGTTTAAGCCTCTGCTTTCAGCTCAGGTCATGATCTCAGGGTCCTGGGATCAAGCCCCACATCAGGCTCTCTGCTCCACGGGGAGCCTGCTTCCTCCTCTCTCTCTCTGCCTGCCTCTCTGCCTACTTGTGATCTCTCTCTCTGTCAAATAAATAAATAAAATCTTTAAAAAAATTTTTTCCACCTGAAGTATAACATATACGCTGAAAAGTGTTCAAACCGTAAGAGCACAAGCTAGGGGCATCTGGAGGGTGCAGTCAGTTAAGGGTCTGCCTTTGGTAAAGGTCATGATCCCGGGGTTCTGGCATTGAGCCCCGCGTTGAGCTTCCTGCTCAGCATGGAGTCTGCTTGAAATTCTCTCTCTCCCTCTGCCCCTCCCCCCGCTCGGGCTCTTTCTTTCTCTCAAATACATAAAATCTTAAAAAGAATGAAGGGTACGTGTTGAAAAATCGCCACTGCCTGAATATACCCGTGATCAGCAACCACATCGAGAACTAGAATAGGATCAGATCCCCACAGCCCCCATGGACCCCGTTTCTGTTGCTACTCCTAAGGGTAAACCCTACCCTCACTTCTTTCCTGATACACTTTTAAGCCCCCCAAATCATGGACGAACCATCCTGCTAAAGAAATGAGACACAGAGGGACATATTATGTATACATCATAATTATATTTCACATAAAATCGAAGTCCTCTGTATCTCTGCCTAGGTCACAATTTGCCTGTTCTCTCCTAACCACAGAGAAAGAGCACACCTGCTCCCTGAAGCCGGGAGCAGGCCTGGCACTCACAGGCAGGCTGTGGTGTTCTCCTGCTGGAACTCGGATGAGTTCAAGGAAAACCATCTTACCGAGGTCCAAACGAGAGCCTCCCTAATCATGTCTGAGCCCAGAACACTGCCCAAACTGTAACCATGACCAAACATCCCCATTTTCTGGCCAAGGCGAGGGACCACTCTTTCTCTATTATAGCTGTAGCCTCTCTTTGTCTCTCCCACCTTCTAGCTCAGAGTGATTTAAGAAATCCAACTATAAAATTAGCCTTGCTTCCTACAGCATCCAATCCAGAGCGAAAGCCCCACTTCCTGGAACTCTCCCACAGTCACCTACCATAAGCCCGGTCCTACAATGAGGTCTTTCCAGTATCTTCTCACTGAGCCCACGGTGTGCTATGCAAGGAGCTAAATGACCCAGCTTGACTGGACCACATTGTCCTTCGGGGTCTCTGCTGGAGGGCATCAACACTACCTTCTGCTTGTTGTCTCTGGGCACATTTTCTTTCCCCTTTTTTTTTATTGTGATAACATATATGTACACAAAATTTACTGTTTTAACCATTTCTAAGAGTACAGTTCAGTGGCATTAAGTGTCTCCTGTACATGTTCACACTTTTACTACATAGGCATAGACCCACCAAAATATACATACACTAGTAATCTGCACAGTTTTAAACTTTAGAAAATGTGTCAGACTGACATGTTCTTCCACATCTCACGTTTTTTTCTGTATGCTACGTTCCCGTATTATTTTTTTTTCAAAGATTTTATTTATTTTTTTTAAGATTTTTATTTATTTATTTGACAGATCACAAGTAGGCAGAGAGGCAGGCAGAGTGAGAGAGAGGAGGAAGCAGGCTCCCCGCTGAGCAGAGAGCCCGATGTGGGGCTTGATCCCAGGACCCTGAAATCATGACCTGAGCCAAAGGCAGAGGCTTTAACCCACTGAGCCACCCATGCGCCCCCAAAGATTTTATTTATTTATTTGACAGACAGAGATCCCAAGTAGGCAGAGAGGCAGGCAGAGAGAGACAGAGGGAAGCCGGCTCCCTGCTGAGCAGAGAGCCCGACATGGGGCTCAATCCCAGGACCCTGAGATCATGACCTGAGCCAAAGGCAGAGGCTTTAACTCACTGAGCCACCCAGGCGCCACTGTTTATTTTATTTTTTAAAAAGATTTTATTTATTTGTCACAGAGAGAGGGGAGCAGCAGGCAGAAGGAGAACAAGGCTGCCCGTTGAACAGGGAGCCCGATTCGGGACTCAATCCCAGGACCCTGGGATCATGACCTGAGCTGAAGGCAGACGCTTAACCAACTGAGCCACCCAGGCATCCTGTTCTGGTATTGTTTAAATAATCAAAGTAATATCCGCTCATTACAAACAATAATAGGATAGAATAGAAGTATGTACCATAAACAATGAAAACCCTTCTGTTCGTTCCCTCTCAAAACTCAATCCCTCTCCCAGGTGTAAGCTTTCAGACTATTCTACGCCTATCTGAACACATACATACATACACACACAACACAGTTTTATCGAGGTGGATTCAATTACTTGGATTGTTCTGCAACTGGCTTTTATCACTTAATATATCTTAGGCATTATCCTGGGCATCTAGGGCACTTGGGTGGCTCTGTCAGTTAAGCGCCTGGCTCAGGTCATGATCCCAGGGTTGTGCAACTGAGCCCAGCACTGGGCTTTGTGCTCAGGGCAGAGAGTCTGCTTCAGATTCTCTCTCCGTCTCCCTCTGCCCCTCCCTCCCACTCGTGCATGTGTTCTCTCTCTCTCAAATAAATAAATCTTTAAAATATATATATTTTATATAGGTCTTAGGCATCCTTCATTTCATATAACATTTAATATTTATTGAGATCCATTACATAATTTTTAAGGACTGGGAACAATTTGGCAAAACTTTTTTTTTTAAGATTTTATTTATTTATTTGACAGAGACACAGCGAGAGGGGGAACAGAAGCAGGGGGAGTGGGAGAGAGAGAAGCAGGCTTCCTTTTGAGCAGGGAGCCCAATGCGGGGCTCAATCCCAGGACCCTGGGACCATGACCTGAGCTGAAGGCAGACGCTTAATGACTGAGCCACCCAGGCGCCCCAACAAAACTTTAAGATGGAGCTGACTTTTTTTTTTTTTTTGGGTGCATGTTTCACTTGCCCCTACCTTTGTCTCCTGTTTTGGTGTATATCTTGGGGATCTTGGGTGTCTTCGAGGAAGACTGCGGCCTGAGGAGAAACAGACATCAAGACATGGTGGGTGGGAATGGCTTACCCAGTGTGACACCACCCTCAGTGGGTCTCATCTTGCTGCTTGTAGCCTTAGAGGCAGCATTTAACCCTCCTCTGCTGACACCATTCCCCTCTTTCTTCCTAGTTCTACCCTTTTGGGTGGGTTCTGTGTCTTGCCCACATCCATAACTGCAGAGTAGCTCATGCTCAATAAATATTCACGGAGTTTACTGATCACTTTCCATAGTCTCTCCACTGTGTTGGATTCCTGGCATTATCTCCTAGAATCATCCGTGGAATCTTTCCACAGCCCCAAACGTAGGAGATACCTACACCCTTCATTTCACGTGGAGAAAACTGGAGTTCACAGGTCGAGACCTGCCTTCCCAGATCACCCAGGAACACATAAGGCTGGGATTCATGCCCAAGACTACCTTACTTCCCCCAAACTCCTACTTCCACCCATCCAAACTCTTATCCTCTATTCCACAAGTCTCGGCTTCTCAGAGAGAAAGCCTATCTAGGCCACTAACATTCTGTGAAGCTTCAGGTACACTCAAAAATGAAAAATTGCTAAAACAGAGTCAAATTCTGGCATTTTCAAATTGCCACATAAAGCCTTTAATACAGGCTTCAACACTGAAACCCGCCATTGCGAGGTTGTTCAAAACGTTCCGTTACTGGATCTATGAACTACATGGATCCATTAATTCATGGTATGCTTCAGGTTCTGAGGTCCAGCGATGGGCTGCAAATTTAAAGGTCTACGATGACAGCCATCTTCGGAGCAAGTAGGTGTATCTCTGTGTCTTAAAGGAGAAACCGCCGCGGACATAGGTCAAAATCTGAACTGAGGCCCCACCTGACTGCAAGGCCTGGAACGATGGCCCTCCTGCCCCCCCCCCCTCGCCCCGTGGGATAGGCCCTGCCTGGACGCCTGAGAGCTGGGCCGCCTTCGGACCTGTGCAAAGAAATCTCGGTCTCAGGCTTCTCCTGTGCCCGCGTGGCCACGTGACCGCTTAGGCCTAAGAGAGGACGTCACGGGACAGCGGCGGCGGTGATCTCATAGCGGTGTGACGTCACCACAGCGACCACCATTCACGGCAGGTAGCCGAGCAGCCCGCCCATCAGGCACTCACCCGTCCCCGTCTTTCACGCCCTGGGGGCGGTGGCTCTGGAAACGGCGACATAATAGCCTACCGGCGCCGACACCCCCGAGCAGGCCCAGACGGCACCCTAAGCCCCACACGGCCATGCGCCAGGCAGCTAGTCGGGGGCTGACCCCGCCAGGCTCCCGTCCAGGTCTGGGGTGACTCCACCTACCTCAGGCCGCGCCACCGTCAGCCGCCATTTTCCATTGGTCGGCGGCTCTCGACCGAGGGCGGGACACTCCCAGGGGCTTGTTTTCCATTGGTTTACTGAAGGGGCGGGGAAAGCCATGACTGAGCGTGGTCCCCACACCTATTGGCCAATGTTCAAGCCAACTGGTAAAGGGACGCCCCGGTCGCGCGTTTTTATTGGCAGAGAGGTGGACGAGCCCCCGCCCCCCACGGGAGGGCGGTGCTCAGGGACTAGGTCCTGAGCAGCCAGAACCCGCGGCGGAGGCAGGTGAGAACCCGGGGTTGGGAGTCGGCTGGGGAGAGGTTCCGCCGGGCTCCCGGCTTCTCTGGCTCAGTGTCCCCTACTCTGGGGATCTGTCCCGAGCGGTCGGCGAGCTCCAATGTGAAGTGATTTGGAGCTTCGGACAAACGTAAGTTTCCCGGTTCCGAACCTCAGTTTCCTCCACTAAAAAACGGGATCACGGTGGTAACTTGGCTTGTAGTGCGGCTCGTGTCATATATTAAGGTAACGCACGCGAGGCCTATAATGGGTGGTAATTCTGCAGAGTATGTAAAAATCGAAACCGCGCACACCTGCAGAACCACCCAGCAAGTCACTTTCTAGGACTCTGTATTGTGGAGATCCTGGCTTACGTTTGCAAGAAGGGGTTTGACCTCTGTTTTCTACAGCCTATGATTTATCATCGTGAGGCTTTGGAAACAGCCTGAAGGTCCAGGGAAGCGTTCCTTCTGGCCCATGATTGCATTTAAATTTCTGCCTTCAATAGTAGCAATAATAAAAGCTGCAACTAAGAACAGAGCCCGTAACGATAAGTAGATCAGGAATAGAGTGACCGTGATGTGCCAGACATTGCCAGGTGTTCCTCTTGCATTATGTAAGGTAAACTTTCCTAAAACCCACTGAAGTAAGTAGGTTCTTGTCCCCACATAGCATGAAGAAACCGAGATTCCTAGCCACTGGAGTAGGTGAGCGAAGATGACCTCACTGGAGAGGGGAAGAGCTCTAATTTGAACCTAGGGCTTTCTGTCTAGTGCGTTGACTCACTGCACAGTCTTTGGGGCGCATCGCAACTGCTGAATGGTAGCTGCCTATTTTGTTCGAATGATGAGTTTGAACTAGGCATTCTCTTAATATACTAAGATCTGGGGACTTTTCATCCTCTCTCTGGCTTTTTCCTTCAGGATTCTTAGGACCCATGCTGTCAGAAGTCCTGCTAGTGTCCGCTCCAGGGAAAGTCATCCTTCACGGAGAGCATGCTGTGGTTCATGGCAAGGTAAAGTTCCTCAGAGCCTTTGAGAATTGGGTACCTTTTCTCCCCAACCCTACCCTTAAGCCAAAAGGAAGCCTGGAGGCATAGCCTGGGAGTACGTAGGAGAGGAGATCTGTTTGTCTGCAGCGAAGCAGGGAAGAGACAGGCCTTACGTCCATTGAAGGGCTTCCCTGGCCTCACCCAGTAAGAGAGCACAGAGTTGAAATGTAAAGTTGTGCAGGTGGAATGACACAACCTGGAAGGTGGGCTTCGGTGGAGAAGAAAGGAGGTTGGAGCCCTGAGCCTGGGGGCACCCCAACATTCAGAAGTGGGGAAGATGAGGAAGAAACAGCAAAGAAGTTTGAGACCTGCATTATCTCATTCAACTTGTAGGATGCCCTCCATGGTTAAACTTTGATTATCCCATTTTGCAGATGTGGAAGCTGAAGCCTAGGAGAAGCAGCTTGACCAAGGTCCTGTACACCTTAGCAGAACAGGGAATGAACCTAAGTCTGTCTGAACTCACAGCTCATGCTTTTTCCACTCCTGCGCTCCTCTACTCCTCATCATTCTTTATGTTCCTAGCTTACATTTATCTTTGCTGATGTGGTGATTGTGGGGAAGCTGTTCGATGGTGTGCAGGACCTCTGAAGTTTTGCAACAGGAGGGCAAACATCAGTAGATATTAGTTCCTAACTATTGGTAGAGGCTGTGCCACTTAGTGGGAGAGCATGCCAAGGTTGATCAGCGGTGTCTGCCAAGGGCATGTGTGGGCATGTGCCCTGTATGCTAGTATGTGCTCTCTCTCCTCATTGACATTGACCCCTCGGTTTAAGACTGGAGCCAAACTCTTTGTGCCTACCCCCACCCTCCATGCTCAGGCTCGTTGCTTTTGCCCTTTATTCTACAGGTAGCACTGGCTGTGGCCTTAAACTTGAGAACATTCCTCCGGCTTCAGCCCCACAGCAATGGGAAAGTGTGCCTCAACTTACCAAACATTGGCGTCAAGCGGGCCTGGGATGTGGCTGAGCTTCAGCTGCAGGATACGAGCTTTCTGGGTAAGTGCAGCGAGGAGGGACCAGGTGTGGGAAGAGCCTGGGCCCTGCCTAGAGGGGAAAGGGGATAGACAGCTGGGTAGTTATTCTAGGCTGTCTCTGAGAGGGGCAGAGACTAGCCACTCTGGGGGTGTTTTCTTTCAACCCCATAAAATTAGCTTAACTCACTTATTTGTTTTAAATTTAAGAGCGTCAAATGATGGACTGCATCTGTGTGGGCTGTGGTGGACTGATTGTCACCGCCTGTTGTTGGGTGAAAAACCACAAGATGCAAATAGCATGTATGTAAGGAAAGACCCAGATTATGTACCAGTACATATGTACACGCAGGGATGATTAGTGACCTCTGGGTCCTAAGGTCTGAGAGTGGACAGAGGGTGCCTTCCTTCTGTAGGATGGTTTTGACAAGGAGAAGGTATTGATTGGCATTGGGTGTCATTAAAAATAAAAGTAATGGGTGCCTGAGTGGCTCATTTGCTTAAGTGACTGCCTTTTTGGGTCAGGTCATGATCCCAGAGTCTCAGGATCGAGTCCCGCATTGGGCTCCCAGCTCCACGGAGAGTCTGCTTCTCCCTCTGACCTTCTCCCTTCTCATGATCTCTTTCACTGTCTCTCTCTCAAATAAATAAATAAATCTAAAAAAAAATAAATAAAATAAAAATAACATACTTATTAATTGGAAAACAGAGTCAATAGTGAAACACCATCAGTAATGAAAAAAAGTCACCTGCTACCACTGCCCCCTGGCCACCGCCCCCTCCCCCTCCGTCCGGCCCATAACTCTCAGCATTTTGGTGTTAATCTTTCTGGATTATTTTCTGCAGGTAGATAGTTAGATTGAGAGAGATGGGGGGGATATCTTGTCCCTTAACCAAAATCTGATCGGGCCATACAAACTTGTCAGACATGTGTGTTTTTTTGTTTTATTTTGTTTTCTTCAGTGTATCAGGACTTTCTTTCCTTGCCAATAAATAAAGTCCCCTGTCCTGATTTTTGATAATACTGTGAATCTTGTGTCCCCTCCTAAGCAGGCAGGGTTTTTCATCTGCACAGTTGCTCGCCACCCACACCAGAGCTGAAGGGTGTTTTCTGTCCTCCGTTCATTCTTTGTTTGCTATCTCCTTGCCCAGCTGATGCCTCATTGTTTGGAACAGTGTTTCTCAGCCAGAGTGAGACAAGTGGGAGTGCTCTGGGGGTATTTTCCTAACTGCTCCCTATTCCCTGGGAGGATCAATCCCCAGCAAGCCACTTCCAAATATTGCAGGAAGTTGGGGGAAACCAGCGTAAAGCCCCATTTCCCAACCAGTCAGGCCTTGGGATCCCCTGGGGAGGTTTTCATTGTTGTTAATTGTTCTTAACAATAGGGACAGATATCTGATCATGCCCCTCTCCTATTAAGAATGGGGGTCATGGTGGCAGGGGACTGGGCAGGTGAGGTTTGTTTTTTTTTTTTTTTTTTTTAAGATTTTTATTTATTTGACAGAGAGAGACAGCCAGAAAGGGAACACGAGCAGGGGGAGTGGGAGAGGGAGAAGCAGGCTTCCCACTGAGCAGGGAGCCCGTCGCAGGGCTTGATCCCAGGACCCTGAGTTCATGACCTGAGCCAAAGGCAGATGCTTAAGGACTGAGCCATCCAGGTACCCCCAAGCAGGTGTATTTTGAAAGAAGCTCCCTGGGTGATTCCAGGAACATCCTCAATGAGGACTTTTGGAGCAGACCCAGACCCCTTGCTTTCCATGGTGCACCGGGCTCCCCTTCCCGAGGTTGGAGATGTTCCCTTGCCTGTGTGAGCCTGGACAAGTCATTTAACCTTCAGAGCCTCCATGAGCAGAGTCCTGTGGCCTGGGAGGGTTGCTGTGAGGATCCAACTGGATAGCAGGTGGCCCAGGGCTGGGACGCAGTATGTAGTATGTGTGTGAGAACTTGTGAGTGATTTCCCCAAGGAGAAAAAGGAATATGGAACATAAACCTTCAGAGACATGTTTCCTACTAGATTTCCAGGCTCTTCTGTCTTTTTCTTTCAGCGTTCTCTGGTTGCTTCCCAACAGTTACAGAACACCAGGAACATTTCACTGGGTACCCTTATGTGTGCCAGGCACTGGACCAGTATGTCATGGTTGTTGGTGCTCTTAGAATCCTCCAGGCTGCCCTGGATGCAGGTGGTGGTATCCACCCCATTTTATGAATGAGAAAATGGAGCTTCAAGGGCCAAGTGGCTCAGGTCACACGGCACTGTCAGGGATGCAGAAAGGATTCACACCCAGATCGTTCTTAACTCTCCAAAGTAGTCTTTTTTTTTTTTCTTTAAGATTTTTATTTATTTATTAATTTGAGAGAGAGAGAGAGCATGAGCACAGGGGGAAGGGCACAGGGAGAAGCAGACTCCCCACTGAGCAGGGAAGCGGGGCTCAATCCTGGGATGGTGACCTGAGCTGAAGGCAAGCGCTTCAGCTGGTGGCTCAGCTGGCTGAACCACCCAGGCTCTCCTAAACTCTCCAACGCCTTCATGAGTCATCCCATTTCCCTCGCAGCACTCCGGAACGTCCGTGCTCTCAGCGACACTGTTAACTGGCTCGGCTGCCTTTAGCGTGTTGTTATCTCATGGCATACATAGGACTTCTTGCGTAACCTGCCCTAACGCAGCCTCTCGCTGCTGCCCACACCAGTGTCAGCACGTCGCGTTCTCGGGTTTCGAGTGTCCAGTTCTTAAGAGTTGTTGGAGAGGGATGCGTCTGGGGATTAACTGAATACTGCCTTTGGTTTAGGTTTTGTACCATGGGGGTCAGACCCAGACCTTCGAGAGGGGGAGCTAGCCGGCACTCTGTGTGTGGACGTGGGTTTCAAGACGACCATTAATTCAGCACGTACTACACACCAGGAGCTGTGCCGTGGGTTTCATGTCCCTTATTTCAGGTTATCTCGGAGGAGGTACTGCTACTCTCCCCGCCTACAAAGAAGGGGAACTGAGGTTCAGAGAGGGGAAGTCATGTGCTCAAGGCCCCAGAGCCAGTGAATGGTACTGTTGCGATGCACGCCCAGGTCTGCATGCCCACAAAGCCCGAAGGCGCCTGGCAGATGCGGCCCTGGTGCTAGGGCCATGCATCCCTGTCCTCAGATGCTGATCTCACACCGGCTCGGGTTTCTGTGTTCTGTTGTCTGTAAGCGTGTCTGCGGCCCTCTCAACCCAGCCACCTGTGCTTGCTTGTGACAGAGCAGGGTGACGCCACAGCGCTCACTGCAGAGCAAGTGAAGAAGCTCAAGGAACTGGCTGGCATCACTCAGGACGGCGCCAAACCCGAGGGCCTGGCTGTGCTGGCCTTTCTCTACCTGTACTTGTCCATCTGCCAGAAGCAGAGGTGCGTGCATGGTCTGGGGAAGGTGCGCATGAGGTCTGGGCCCAAAGCCAGGTTCCTGCCCCGGCCACATGGCTTCTCCCAGGCCATGTCCACAGAGGCGGCCCGCTGCACATCCCGCCAGTGCCAGGAAACTCTACAAGGAGCAGAGTGAAGACTGTGTCTGCTCCACCCCTTAAGATAGGATCTGGGCAGTCTCCCTTCAGGGAGGCCAGCTCCCCAGGGCTGGCGGTGCTGTGGAGGCCGTGTCACGTGGTGATGGAAAACCAGACTTGGGGCCAACCCCACGGCGTCTGCTTACCAGCTTCCTTGAGGTTCTTACCCTCCCTGGGCCTCAGTGTTCGCCTCTGTAAAATGGGAGTAAGTGAGAGTCCGTACTTTATAAGCTCCGTGGGAGGGTGAGTGTGTTTATTTATCTAAAGTGTGTGACACAGAGCTTGTCACCCAGCTTGAGAAGTATGAGCCATTAATATTCTCCTAAGAAAACTATCGGAGAGTTAGCAATATTATATATGAAGTGAGCCTAGCTCTGTCCCTAGCCCACAGTGATTTTCACTGTGGTTTTTTTTTTTTTTTTTTTTTTTTAATTTTTTTGGTCCCAGGCCCAGTGGGAAAGCCTTAAGGGACAGCTCTTTACTGAGACAGCAGGTACTGGTTGAGCAGGTCCCAGGGACCAGGCACGGTGCAGTGGGCACGTTCACAAATGTCCCAACTCTTGCTGTCTGCCGTGGGATTTTCAAATTGAGCGAGGGGGCACATCCCTTTCCGGGAAGGGGTAAGCGTTTCAGAACCTCCTGTTCTGAGTGGGGTGGGCATGTGTAGTTTGAAAAGCAGATTTGGCACTATAATTTTTTTTTTTTAAGATTTTATTTATTTATTTGACAGATAGAGATCACAAAGTAGGCAGAGAGGCAGGCAGAGAGGGAGGAGGAAGCAGTCTCCCTGCTGAGCAGAGAGCCCAATGTGGGGCTCGATCCCAGAACCCTGGGATCATGACCTGAGCCGAAGGCAGAGGCTTTAACCCACTGAGCCACCCGGGCACCCCTGGCACTATAATTTTATAAATGGAAAAGTTTATAAAATTTACAAAAAGTTTATAAAAGTTATAAATTTTATAAATGGAAAATCTTATTAATGGGAAATACAGAACGTGAAGTTTAACAATAGTCCTTGCTTGGAAATACAACAGGGGAAGCATCCCAGAGAAGGCCACGGTGGGGAGAGGGGCTCAGCGAGGGAAGCTAGGAATGGGTTCTGTGGGTGGCCAGGAGAAGCTTCCCGTGGAGAGGACATTTGAGAAGGGTTTTGCAGGATGGGTAGGCATTTGCCTGGGGGAGAAAGAGGCACAAGGCTTTCCCAGGCAGGGATACAAGTAGACAATGGCCACGGAATTTTCCTGAGTAGGGAATATTTCCACGGAATGTTCCTGTGTAGGGAACAGGAAGGAATTTAGAGAAACGGTCCATTCACAAGGGAACCTCGTGCTTTAAATGATTCTGGTACCTCTTTCTTTTTTTTTTTTTTTTTTTTATTTGACAGATCACAAGTAGGCAGAGAGGCAGGCAGAGAGAGACAGGAGGAGGCAGGCTCCCTGCCGAGCAGAGAGCCCGTTGTGGGACTCTATCCCAGGACCCTGAGATCATGACCTGAGCTGAAGGCAGAGGTTTTAACCACTGAGCCACCCAGGCGCCCCTGGTACCTCTTTCCAAGCTGTCTGACTCACCATGACTTCCCGCCCATCCTGTAGGGCCACTTTTGGGGTCGGCATATGTCTCCGAGTTCGGAAACCTAGGCTGAAGGCTTGGAGTGAGGCCCTGCCAATGTCCAGTTCTGGGCCTCGACTGCTAATTTGATCCAGGGGAGTCATGCTCTGTACCCCCACTGTGTTTCAGGGCCCTGCCCAGCCTGGACATCACGGTGTGGTCACAGCTGCCCACTGGGGCCGGCCTGGGCTCCAGCGCCGCCTACTCTGCGTGTATGGCCGCCGCTCTCCTGACCGCGTGTGAGGAGATCCCAAACCCGCAGAAGGACGGGGTGTCCACCAGCAGGTAGTCTCCGCCCTCTCCCTGCTCGCTGTCCTTTCCAGGCGCCAAGACCCAAGTGTGGGTTCTCACTCAGAGGACTCCCTGCCAGAGGTGTCATATGGCCATTGTACAGATGGGGAAACCAAGGCACAGAGGCCAGAAGGCGGGCCCAGGCTACGCAGCCAGGGATGGTAGAACGAGACTTGCACCCAGGCAGCCTGAACCCAGAGTCTGACCTCTTTGCTCCTTAGCTAAGCCACTTCAGGTCCCCGCCCCCTCACCCACCTTGCCTCATTTGGGTTCAAGCGCCCGTGGTGTGGCAGAAGGAACCTGAGCCTGGATGTAGGGAGCCATTGGGCCCACTTCTGCCATCAGCTCACTGTGGGACCTCGACCTTGGCCCAGCCGTTGTACCCCTCGGGGCCCCAGCGTCCTTATCTGTAACAGGTTGGATGGTTATACGAGAAAAGAAAAAGAAGTAGAAGATGCCAAGAAAGAAACACAGGGGTATTAGATGAAGGCATCGCCCTTTGTAAGAGCCCTTGTCCTCATTCCATGGAAGGGGCATTGCCTCTGCTGTTCCCACTGTAAGTCAGTGAGGCCAGTCGGGACACTCGCCAGCAGCCATGTCTGTCACCTTGAGCAGCCATCCCAGGCATGGAGGTGATGCCGTCTATCCTGGGCCCCACCTCGGGAGTGATGCCAGTCCTGAATCCAGCCTGGCAGCTTCTTGGTGAGGTCTGTCCCTGGGCCTATAGGGATCAGGGGGGCCCTCCCGCTGGTGGCCTTGGGTACCCACTGTGTGCCATGTTGAGGGGACCGCTGGCCGCGTCTCTCCTCCAGGACAGCTGGCCGGAGAGAAGGCTGCTAAGGCTGTACTGGGTGCCAGGACAGATGTGGCCGTGTGTTTGCTCCCAGAGCGGTGCTCCCATGCCCTCCCTGCCCGCTGTGGGGGCCCAGGCTGCAACAAGGCCACGCTGCGCCAGCCTGTGGTGGAGGACCTCTTTCCTCCTCCAGATCTCGGTTTGGAGGTTTCCTTCCTCTGCCCTGAAGATGCCGTGCTTTCCTGATGGCCTGGCCCCGCTGGGTGCCCTCTGGTCTGTTGCTTTCTCTTCTGACACATGGAGGTTAAAATACAGTTGAATTCACACTAAGGTCCCTTGGATCCTTGTGGCCATGGCGGATCCCGGGGGGCTCTTGATGGGGTGTGTCTGTCAGCATCCTTCACACTTGCTTTGGTTGGTTCCAAAGCAAGAGGACATTGCGTGGAGAGAAGTGGGAGGGGTGGGAAAAAGGTGGCTTTTGTCGGGGGAAGAATCCAGAAGGTGATGAGAGATGCACCAGTAGGTAACACAAGGTGATGGTTTTCGGGAATTTCAGTGAGGTTTGGCTGGTAACTCGCTGCAGGCCATTGCTTACCCCTTCTTCTGTCTGGGCTCTGTTTCCTCCTCTGGAAGCGACTCCTGATGGGCCTTTGGGGGGCCTTCCAGCCTTGATGTTTGGTGTTACCATGGTGCTCGTTAGCATGTGCTAATCACGGATTATAACTTAGATCATTGAAGGCCTGCTTGCCCTGGGTCCCCTGAATAGACTTGTATGTATGGGGCATCAGACCAGCTGTGTTGTTCAAAGGGCACGGGTGACTTGTGAGTGTGTGTGCGTGTGTGTGTGTGTTTGTGTGTGTGTGTGCATGGCTTCCTTACAGCCAGCTCTGCTGCCTCCCCTGAAGACCCAGTCTTTCCTTTCCAGGCCCCAACCCCTGCCCTGGCCCCAGCTTTCCAAATCCTACAGAACTAGAACCCAGTCTCCTCTGAAGATGGGGGTTAGAAATCTGAGCCCCTGAAGGATGAACAGTGCACAGAATGGGAAGGAGATTCACCTCTATGGAGACGGCCAGGTCCAGGGCTGGGTCCAACTGCCTCTTTGCCCCATTGTTCACTCGCTCTGCAGTTCCTGGAAAGGCCTGACTCTTGCCCAGTCCCAGCTGCTACGTGGCCTCAGTCTGGAATGTTTTCCTTGCACGTCTTGCCTTGCTGACTCTCCTCCACCCCACCCCTGCCGTCCCTCAGGCCCTCCCCTTTCCAGATGTGGCACACCCGATCCTCCCGCATCACATCTATCTCCTGGGGGTTGTAGTTAAATACTGATTGCCGCTGGGTACCCCCTGTCTGTGAGATGCCAAGCCTCAGGCTGTCAGGGGCCATGTCTGGTTCATCCCCTGTGTGAGCTTAGTCACAGGCCTACAGTGGATGCCCAGTAACTATGGGACAGACGAGGGAATCTTGTCGGCACCATGGAGCTCAGTCTTGGGAGCTTGGGCCCCACTCCGCAGGTGTGGTGCTGGTGTAGTAGTGAGTGGCACCAGCATCTGCTCTACCCACCTAAGTGTCGGTTTCCTCTTCTGTAGGAGGGGATAGTAACTGTACCTTCCCTGTAGGGTTTTCGTGGGATTCCAGGAGATGGCCAGTGGAGAAAGGCTTCAGCTCAGTGCTCAGCATTTGGTGATAGCTTTGAGCCTCTCAACTCACCATGCGAGTTAGGGGGCATCACATCCACATTTGGCCAGTGAGGAGAGAGGCTCAGAGGGGGCGACGGCCTTCCCTAAGACCCCACAGCAAATGAGCATTGGACAGGCACAGGGAAGGGGCTGACCATATTCCTTATTCAGTAATTCATGGACCTGGGGTCTGCTCACCCAAACTGCATGAGCCCGCACTTCTCCCGAGCAAGACAGCATGGCTGCATGCTTAGGAAAGATCCAGAGCTGGTCCATGCTCACGGGACCCACTGAGGGTGTCTGGGGCTCCTAGAATCACATTCCTGGTGGGCTTTGGGAAGGGTCACACGTCTGCTCCCTGGTCCTCACGGCAAGGATTCCAGAGCAGATGGGTATGTGGGGGTTTGTGACAGTGGTAACTACTGCCCGCCACTCGTGGACACCTTGTTTGAGACCTCTGCAGCCAGCCCTGGATGGGTGTGACCATCCTGCAGATGAGGACAGTGGGGCTCAGACAGGTTATGTAACGGTCCCAGAGTCCCTCGCTGCTAGGGCTGTGTGCATTCAAAGCCTGGTCTCACTCCACAGTGCCGGTTGGAGGGGGCTCCAGAGGCAGGGAAGGTACGGCACGCTCTGAAGTGGAGAGGTTCTAGGCTGTTCTATTTCTGCTTTCGAGGGCCCAATCCCCTCTGACTTTTTTTTAGTCTCCACCAAGCTTAACCTGTGGATCCTTTGCCCTGCTGCCCTTGGCGACACTGGGCCCGCACTGTCTTCTGAGGTACAGATGAACTCCTGTGTCTTCTCCAGGTGGGCCGTGGAGGATTTGGAACTAATTAACAAGTGGGCCTTCCAGGGGGAGAGAATGATTCATGGCAACCCGTCTGGAGTGGACAACGCTGTCAGCACCTGGGGTAGGGGCTGCCTCAAACTCATTTTTCTCTGTTTTTAGTATTTTATACATTCTTAGGACCATCGTAGACACCAGGCCCTGTCAGTTTGGATTCTGAGGGAAATAGTATTTTCCTGTTCGGGGGTGGGGGGTAAGAGAAATTTCAGGGCCCTGCCTCACATCTGAATCTAATCTCTGGGGGGGGGGGGTTGGAGCAGAGCCTGGGAAGCTACAGTTTCGGGGAGCTTCCCAGGAGGGTCCCTGTGGTAAAGCTACAGAGCCACACCAGCGGGACTCCACTCCGGTGAGGACTTATAAGACCTGGCCGCAGTCCAGGCCCTCCCTCCCCACTTGGCTGGTGGTGTGAGGCCATGCAGGCTGGAGGGCAGGCAAGCCTTTGTGCCCTCCTGGACCTTGTGTACCTGGGCCTGGGATGGGCAGAACTCTCATCCGAACCTCAAGCCCCGCTTCTCTGCCAAGAAGCAAAGATGTGTAACTTGGCCTACAGCTCTGACCCGCCTCTTCTTGTCTTTAGGAGGAGTGCTCCGGTTCCAACAAGGAAAGATCTCCTCCCTAGAGAGGTAATTCTAGGCCAGAGCAGCAGCTCCTGGCACGGCTATGGCAGTGAGTCCCAGGGCGGGGGAGGTGGGCCTCTAACCTCATGGTGAGGGACACTTGTGGGCCTCATGTCCCCGGGCTTTCTCTCTCCTCCCCCCTGAGGCCTCTTACCTTCTGGGCTGCTGCTCTCAGATCACCAAGGGCTTAGAGGGAGAAGTCATGCACGGCCATGAACGTTCACCTTCAGACCCCACACCCCCGGCCTCTCAGTCATTTAATCGATCCGCCCACGTGTTCATTTCGCAAACGAGAACTGACATCTGCCTGTGTTCCTGACGACTGTACTAGGGTCTGGGGCTCTAAAAACGAGATGACAACTTTTCAGCCCATTTCACATCCCCCTGGAGGGATCGGGATCACCACCGAGCGTGGGGAAACTCAAACACCCTCTCTTCTCTGTGGACTCAGAGTGGACACGTACAGGGGACATGGGAGCATGTGCTTCTTGGCAGTTCCTTGAGCCCCGATTGAGTCGGTTGGTTTTTGTCCCAGGGCACTTGGCCACCTTGGCGACCTCTCCGTGGGGATGAGGGTGAGGAGGGTTATTTGCATGAGCTGGCATGAGCTTCCATGTTCTTGCTCCCACCCGCTCCTCTGGGATCTCCCTGCCTCCGCTCTGTTGTCTTCCGAGAGCCGAGTCTGCCTTTCTGATGGCCGACATTAGGGTTTCTTTAACCTGGGCGCCTCTGACATTGTGGACTCGATCATTCTCTATGGCGGAGGGCTGCGCTCTGCAGCTTGTTTGAGGTGTTTAGCAGTACCCCTGAGCTCTCCCCCCACAAGATGCCAGCAACACCTCCCCCGTCTCCCAGCTGTGACAATTGGAAACATCCCCAGACAGTGCCGCATGTCCCCTGGAGGCCACAAACCGCTCTGCACCAAGGAGGAAGTAGGGCCATTTAAGAGAGTGGGACCAGCTTTCTCTGGCTGCTGTGTGCTCTGGGCCCTGGAGCCGGGGGGCCCAAGGGGGGAGGGGGGCTCTGCCAGGTAGACCGACGCCTGGTGCAGTGACAGCAGGAGTCAGAGTGAGACTCGAGATGCCAGAGCTGGGCCTGCCTGCAGGGCTCCTGGTCATCCTCAGACTGGCGCAACTTTCATCCTCAGAACGAAGGCATCCAGACAGTTCTGAAGATGCTGTGATAGTGAGGGGGGTCATAAGTCAGGGTACAGATTTGGGGGTGGTAACGTCTTACTCAGGGTTTCCTGAGAGCTCGTCGTACCCTAAGCTCCAAACTGGGCCCCGGGGAGAGAAAACCAGCCAAAACGTGGCGTGGACACATGCACATTCTCCTGGACAGATTCTCCTGGCTTTCCAGGTAGGAGGAGGCAGGGGAAATGGCCCCAGAGGCGTGTTCGGTGGCCAACTGGTGGTGTTGTGCAGGACGGAGGCTCTGGGGTCTGTGGGCCTTACTTGGGGCCTAGCTCTGCCACTCATGAGCCAGGTGCCCTTGACCAGTCGCTTTTCCTGAGGCAGACGTCTCCTGGTTTATGCAGTGAGGATCCTGAGCATGAAATCAGAAACCTTTATCTGTAGAGTGCTTTGCCCTTGGCCAACCAAATTTAATTCCACACATATTCCTGAGCAGCTACTGTGTGCTGGGGCCGCAGCAGGAAAGAATAAGGCCTGCTTTCAGGGAACTCACATTTTGTGGGAGACAGCAGCCAACGAGTGGCCCCGTAAGAGCATGGCTGTCATTTGGGTGCATGACCAGGGGAGCCTCTGATGAAGTGACATTTGAGCAGGGACCTGAATGGAAACCCGAGGGGGAGGGTGAAGAGGAGATAAGATTGAGGCATTGGCCAGGCCTAGCATGCATAGTCGCTTACAGAGCAGAGCCTGGGTGGTGGTCTCTGGCTGCCCCAGGGAGCCCGGGATTTTGTGGGGCTGGCGGGAGCTGGCAGCAAGTCTGCAGAGGACTTGCCTAATAAAGATGAAGACGAAATATTCAAATTCCTCCCACCCCGATGGACAGGAACACAGAGCAAACCGACCTTCACTGCGGGCCGCAGGGCGCCACAGAGAGCAGATGGCAGATTCTCTGAGAAGCCGGGGGGCCAGACTCCGCGTTAATCCCCACCAGTGGCTTCAAGAGGAACCCTTTCCCCCCAAACCACACATGGTGCTTCTCCATGAAAAAAAATGCATTGTTTGCGAAGTGGATCAAGATGCGGCTTCCCAGAACGCTGCCCTTTTGAGGAACGGCTTGTCTTTAAGGGGAAAAGAAAAGCCAAATAGAATGTTCATCTTTTGTAAAGTTAAAAAAAAAAAAGAAGCTGGCCTCCAAGGCTGAGAATCGATATTAATTTCATGGGCTTATGGGCGTCAAGATCAAGCAGGTTTCTGGCAGCCTTTTGCAGCCCTATTGGATTTTACAGTCTTGGGTTGTGAAAAGAAAAACGGATAAAGGTATCAGGAGGTCTGCATGTCTCCAGCTGTCTCAGGCCAGAGCTTGTCCAGATGCTCCATCCTCCATCCCCGGCCCACAGTGCTCTGCAAGGCAGCTTGGGGATGACAAGAAATGGGGCTCGGAGTCCCCAGAGGCTGCCAGCCATAGGACAGTTGCGATTGTGACTTCAGGAGATATTCTGAAGCTCCAGTGGTTTGGCAAGGGCAGCTTACCGTGGCCGCCCTGGGCCTTCTGTTCTCTTACCTGGGGCAGCCAGGCAGGGACTACTGACTCCCTCTAACCCTCTCTGGCTGAGCCAGGGCAGCAGGTCCGGGTGCCGTCAAGGCAGGGCAAGGATGGGCCCCACCTGCTGGGAACCCAGCACCCGCACAAGCCTTCCCACCCCTGGGCTCACTGTACCAGCCAACCTGGGCATCTTTGCTCCCTGCGTACACCCTCTCTGCGTGATCCACTCCAGATCCCGTTGCTTTTCTTCCTAAATCTCTAGACCCTTCCACTCCACCAAGGTGGGGTGGCCCACAGGACAGAACCTCCACCCTTTCTTGTACCCTTGGCTGCGGTACCTTTGAACTCCTCAAACCCCGTGAACTTGGCATTTTCTGCCAGCTCCAGGCTGAGCCAGGCCCCCTCACGTGTGCCCATCCCGTAGCAGGTGCCCCACTGAAGTCAGGTGGGTGGGTGACAAGCCAAAGGGAAGTATCTATCTGCCTGGGGGCTGGAGTATAGACGCAGCTGTGACTGGCAGCAGGAGCCTCCCGCTCCCCTCTTTCCCTCTCCAGCCTCCCGAGGACCCCTCCTTGGGCCTCTGCTTCCTCCTCTGTGACAGGGTGGGGTGACTTTGGGCTGGCCCCTGGCCCTGAAACCTCTCTTCTGTCCTGAGCTCAATGGGGCCCCTCTTCACCCCACAGGCCACCGGCTCTAAAGATCCTGCTGACCTACACCAAAGTCCTTCGCAGCACAAAGACTCTTGTGGCCAGTGTCCAGAGCCGGCTGCTCAAGGTGCCCTCCTGGTCTGCTCCTGGGCGGGGTTATGGCAGGGCCTCAGCAGCCAGGTCTGGGGGCTCGAGCCTTCCCTCTGCCCCATGGGTTAGTGGAGGGCTGGGATGGGCAATGGGGACCGGGGGAGGCAGTTGTGGCAGACAAGGAGCTGCTGTGTCATCGTCGCCACCCCCCGCACAGCTGGGAAGCAGCACAGGAAGTGTCAGGTGTGCCGGCTTGGTGATGAGACTCCCCCACTCATGTCAGGGTGCTAGGCAAGGCGGATACCTAGGGGGGATGGAGAGGGGGTTTCCTCGGGGGGGCAGGGAGTGGGCTGGGGGAACACCTCTCTCTCCTCCCATGACCCAGGCCTCATGGGCCCTTGCTTCCTCTCCCTCCAGTTCCCAGAGATCGTGACACCCCTGCTGACCTCCATCAACGCGATTTCACTGGAGTGCGAGCGGACGCTGGGGGAGATGGCTGTGGCCCCGGCACCGGAGCACTACCTTGTGCTGGAAGTAAGAGCCTATCTGCGCGGCAAAGGGCCTCTCCAGCACTGCTGTCAGGCAGGGACTCCCCATCGGCACTCAGGATCCCCCGAGCCAAAGCAGAGAGGCTGGGCCCAGGCCGGGGGTCCCGTGTGTGCCAAGGCCAGCAAGCATGCCTTCTTAATCCTCTTCCCAGGCAATTTAGAGCCGTGGAGGGAGTATGTGCAAAGTACAGAGGGCAGTGCCCAGCGCATACTAAGGCATGTGCTAAGTGCCAGGGGCCAGGCGAGGGTTCCTGCCTGTGGGGAACAGTGGGATTTTGCTGACACTGTCTTGTGTCGGTCCAGAAGTGATTTCTTGCTCGCCCCCCTCTCTTTCCTGCTGTTCCTTCTAACTGCATCTGTTCCTCTGGTGACTGTTTATCACTGGCATGCTTTGGCTCAGACATTTTTATTTATCTATTTTCAAGAGGGAGAGGGCAAGCTGGGAGGAGGAGCAGAGAGAGAAGGAGAGGGATAAGCAGACTCTGCACTAAGTACAGAGCCTGATGTGGGGCTCGATCCCACGACCCTGAGATCGTGACCTGAGCCAACATCAAGAGTCGGATGTGTAACCAACTGAGCCACCTAGGTACCCCAGTGTGGACATATTCTCACCCCATTCCTTCTTCACCATTCCCTCAACCACCACCCTCTGCGTAATTCTCGTGTAGAGACCTCACACCTTGGGTTTGATCAGGTCCCAATCCGAACCCCAGCTTCAACCTTGTTGGTCTCACCGGAGCATCCTAAGAAAACAGCAAGGCTGGGTGGGTGACATACAGTCCCCAGCACTCCTTAACTGCCACCCTGAGCTGCTGCAGGCTGTCTGCTGCCTCTCTGTCCCACTGGAGGCATTCGAGTCGGCAGCCCTTGTAGTGAACGGAAGCAGCTCCTAGGCCATGCCTTTTCACAAATGACTTCTCCCTTGATCTCTAGAACCACCTGCCTGGGAAGTAGGCTGTGCCCATTTTACAGATACAGAAACTGAGGCCCAAAGAGCCACTTTCTGTAACGTCCGCCAGCCAGTGAGTGGCCATGACAGGCATCCAGCTGACTGACTTGCTTGTCTCTTTGGCCAACAGATCTTGAATAAGCGCCCACCTGCACCAGGGGTGGGGACCCCCATTCGCTTCTGTGCTTTTGCTCCCATTTCCATAGCTGTCTGCCTCCAGTCCCCCGGCGTTTGCCTTGCTGGCTTCAATTCCTTTCACGTAGAAAGGAGGGAACACAGTCCTCCTGAGTAGGAAATTAATAATGATAGAGTACTGCCTGAAATATACCCTGTTGAGCCCCTGGAGAATGCCACGGAACAGCACGTTGATTATACATTGTGTATATTTTTGGCTGTGGCAGCCGCTGAAATGTGCAGCTCAGCTCCTGGACAGCTTTGTGCTCAAACCAGCGAGCTGTTCTCCTGTGTCACAACCTGTCATCTGATCCTTGACAGATTTTGGATCAGAATGTGACAGGTGTCTAAAACCTGCCTCTGCAACGTGACACCTGGCGTTCAGGCGCAGAGAGCAGCCCCCAGAAGTTTACCCTCATATCCAGCCTTTGGGGCTGGGGAAAGGCACCCAGGGCTGCCACCGGGCCATCACGCCTGTCTGCTCATTTGTCAGAAGTGCTGGCGGGGGGAGGGTGTGAGGCGGGCTGCAGGGGAGGGCTGACCTGAGCCCACCCAACAGCCTAGGGCAGGGGAGCCAGGTGGGCCTCAGCAGACAGCTCGGTGATTGGCAACCCTGCAGGCGCAAAGGCACTCCCCATCCCCGGAGCAGAGCCGCGCGCTGTCAAGCCCCATGCCACAAGAAGTAGGTGGCAGCCAGAATGCTGAGGGCACTCTGGGAGGTGGGGTAGATGGGAGCTTTGCATCGGGCAGACCCGGCTTCCAGGGCTGGCTTGGTACCTTACCAGCTCAGCAACCTTAGGCAAGTCACTTTCCTCCCTAAGCCTTAGCGTCCCCTGAAACGAAGAGGACGGTGATGTGACCATAAAGTACTAAGAGCAGCTGATGTTCCTGAAGCCCTCATCTCAGGCCAGGCATCATGCAAAACCTCACCTTGTCTTGGGCACCTGGGTGGCTCAGTGGGTTAAGCCTCTGCCTTCGGCTCAGGTCATGATCTCAGGGTCCTGAGATCGAGTACCGCATCGGGCTCTCTGCTGGACGGGGAGGCTGCTTCCCCCTCTCTCTCTGCCTGCCTCTCTCTGCCTACTTGTGATCTCTGTCTGTCAAATAAATAAATAAAATCTTTAAAAAAAAAAAAACAAAAACCTCACCTTGTCCCATCCCCATGACAGTGAGGCAGAGCCTCTTATGATGCTGGTTTTACAAGTGAGGAAACTGAGGCATGGGGTCAAAGCCTTTGCCTAGGACCAGGAGGTCACAGAGCTGGTGCTCAAACCCAGACCCCCCCCCACTCCAGATCCCACATGCTTAGCTTACCCGTGGCAGGGACGGTAGCTGGGTGCTCGTTCTTAGAGTCCCAGTGCCTAGCACGGTGCCCGGCATGGTGAAGGTGTTTGGCAAACACTGGTGGGGTAAATGAAAGGTTGTAGGGGGATGCCTGGGCTCTGCTAGCTGTCAGTTTTGTTGTTTCATCAACCTCCATGCCATTTGAGCCTCAGAAGAGCAGGAATTTGATGAAACAAACACATTTAGCTCTTTCCCCCACTTGTGACCTTGTTAGAACAATAAACCAGTTCTTAATTCTGAAAGTAGGTGCACCTAAGGCAGCTGTGGGATGGCAGAGTACTTCAGACTTCTGCAGGTGATAGAAATCCATCCCAACCAAGCTATAACAGAAAGGGAATGTATTGGCTCATAACTGAGAAGACCAGCAAGAACAGCTTTAGGCATAGCTGAATCCAGGGGCCAAAACAGCTCAGTCTGAAATCTCTCTCCATCTAACATATAATCTCTGACCACGTGCAGGGCAGGTAACTCTGGCGGCTTACCTCTGAAGTCAGCCAGTTTTAGCACTTCCAGGGCAGAGGCAGCGAAAACCCCAGGAGGGCTGCGGTTGGCCCAGCATGGGTCACAGGCCCTCTCTGGACAGTCACCATGGCCAGAGGCTGCTTTGGACAGGCGTGGGCCATGTGTTCGCCACCAGCTCCGTCCCAGCCCCTTGGGGAGTCCTGTAGGAAGGAGAGGTTCTTTGAGCAGTGGAGAGGGACGCGGTGCTAGCTTGTCTAAGCTATTTGCCATCCCAGACCAGTGACCGTCAACATGGGTGGGGTGGGCATGGGACCTTGGCTTCAGGCACCCCAAGTGAGAACAGATGAAACCTTCTCCTCTTCCAGGAGCTCATCGACATGAACCAGCACCATCTCAATGCCCTTGGTGTAGGCCATGCCTCACTGGACCAACTCTGCCGGGTGACCATGGCCCATGGACTGCACAGCAAGCTCACTGGCGCGGGCGGCGGTGGCTGTGGTATCACTCTCCTCAGGCCAGGTAGCTGGGGGCTGGGCAGGTTTGCCAGCCAGGGGTCAAGCAAACATTCTACTCAGGCAATTTGTTCGGGAGGAGGAGGACGCTGGAGAACAGCCTCACCTCTGCTGTGTGGCCTTGGTCAAGTTAATGAACCTCTCTGGGTCTTTGTGTCTGCATCAGTAAAATAAGGATGCTAACATCTATTTTTTAAGATCGTTGTCTAGATTCGAGGAGAAAAGTGCATTTAGAATGCCCAGCATAGGCCTGGGGCTCCTACTGGGGTGGCTGTCCCTACCGTGTCCTCACCTGCCAAGTCTCCCACAAGCTCGAGAAATAACCAGGACATTGTCATCACTCATCTCCCCTGCTGTCACCTCTCGATGCAGCCAAGATGGGACTGACCTTGCTACAGAGCAAAGGGCTTTCTCTCCCTTTAGCATCTGGGGAAAGAGCAAGGCTGGGTAATGTGCCTGGGGCCAGCAAGGGACTCCTGGTTGTGCTCAGTCAACATACCTGCCCTCAGGACCGGGCCTTCAGAGCTCCCGCCTCCATTGCCTTTCCTTTGCCCCCACCTCCTGGTCTTTCTCTCCCTTTCTTTACCTTCTCCTTTCTCTTTTTGTCCCACCTTTCTCTGTTGCTTTGTGGTCAGCCCACAGTGGCCCCAGCGGCTCCCCTCAACCTTAGTGTGCCTCAGCATCAGGACGTCAGCACAGCCAATGGCAGACTTTGACTGTTGGCTCCAAGTTCAGGGTCGGGGATGGTAATGAGAGAGAGGGCTTCTGGGGCGTGTCTGCTATGCCAGGTGCCTTATCTGCATTCTCCCATGTGAGCCTCACAGGGACCCTGCAGGGGTAGGTATTAGCCCCATTCCCAGATGAGGAGACTGAGGTTCAGAGAAGGGAAGTCACTTGGCTGAGGCCCCGTGGCTGATCCATGACAAGGCCAGGTCTGTGGGCCTCAGGAGCCCATGATTTTAACTGTTGGCTCTGTAACCACCCCCCCGTCCCCCCTCCCAAGGGTGCAAGGCTTGACATTCCAACAGGAAGACCTGGTTGGTCCCAGGCCTTTCCCTGGATGGACAGTCTCTAAGGGAGCAGACGACTGTGGGGTGACCTGCTGCTTTCCCTCCCCCAGATCTGGAGCAGCCGGAGGTAGAGGCCACGAAGCAGGCTCTGAATGACTGCGGGTTTGACTGCTGGGAAACCAGCATCGGGGCCCCTGGCATCTCCGTCCACTCGGCCGCCTTCCTGGACCCTTCCGTACGCCAAGCCCTGGATGGTCTCTGAGATGAACCTGTGCTGCTGCAGCCCCACCAAGAAGCCACTTCCTGGGGTATTCTAGGTGCCAGAGTCAGCTTCTGTGCTGGCCAGTGGGCCCCAAGGCCCCGTGTGCTGGCCTTCCCCGCGGCCACACCCCTCCATTCCCAGCGGTGTGATCTGGAACCAGCACTGGGCTGGGGTCCCTGGAAGACCCGGCCTGTGTCCTGCCTTCTCTTGAGCTGCCTGGGCAGTGGGGCCATGTGGGGTCCTCTGTAATGTGAGGGGATTCCTTCCTGTCCTCCCTGAAGCTCCCACACACCCATCTGCTTTGGGCCGCTGCCGCCTTCTCAAACCCTCTGTCCACTTGGTTGGACACTTGGATGCAGTGTGCCTTCTCCCTCCCTCTGCCTTTACCCTTCCACCTGTCTCTCAGGGTTTGGTCCCTCCCACCTCCTCCGGGAAGCCTTCCCTGACCACCACCAGGATGACCCTGGTCCCACCTTCCTCCTTGCACGCCCTGCCCTGTTTGAATCCTTCAGCATTTCGTGTGCTCTGTGCTTCTCTCCAGCTAGACCATGGGCCCCCCAGCAGTTGTGTAGGTGGTGGTCTTTGCCTTCTGTCCTCCCATCCCAGGGCTGGCTGAAGTCATGGTTAATGTACCCAGTTTCTGCCAGTCTGTACCCACAGATTTTGCAGAAAAGATGGCAGAAAGGAAATAAAAAGCTTTTGAGTAAACCAGGGCTTCCCTGGGAGTCCAGAAAGAAGGGTGACAGTCGGATAGAGTCTCCAGCTCACCCTAGCCTGCCTCCTTTGTCCCTTCTCCAGCAACTTTCCCCGTAGCGCTCTTAAGGAGTTGAAGGAAAGAAGGGCTTTGGGTCACTCGGTTTTGTGTCTCCAGGACACTGGGGGTTTTTTGTATGGCCCTCTGTCCTCTGGGACAATTCCTACCTGCTTTTCCAGAAAGGGGAGTTTTAAGCTTCCTGGCCCCTGGAGCTTGAGCACCCAGCAAGTTCACAGACTTTTGTGAGCCCTGGAAACAAAAACCTGTAGATTCTGGAATCTTCCTTTTTTTTTTTTTCTGAAATTGACTGTGTGGGGAAAAAAGACTCAACTGCTTGTAAATCCCAGTGCCTGGCACATACCTGGCCCTATTTGAACTTTGTATTAACAGTCAAAGCTCCTTCTGAAATGGCAGAATCCATCAAAAAGCTCCTGTCGGTAGCACAGTGCCTCGGGGATCTCCAAGACCTGCGGGAGGCACCCAGGGAGGTGGGGGCTGGGCAGGGAGTTCAGGATGTGGTTAAAATGGCCCTGCGCTTCTGCCCTTGGCCACTAGGGGGCAGCGGGTGCCTTTCCCAGGGTCTTCACAGGGAGGGTGAGCGGGAGCAGGCCTCAAGAGCAGAATCCGAGCTACACACACGGCCCCCACCCCCAACCCCCGCCCGCCATGCCAGGCCTCTCCGGCTGTGCCTGGGCTCACTGCCAGGGACGTGAGGGCAATATGGAAGATGCCTGCCCCGGCCTCACCAATGGGGGTTGCCTGCTTCTCTTCAAAACACAAATAATGCATAAAACAATAATGTGAATACTGAGCTCTTCCGTCGTGCTGGGCACTGTTCTAAATCTTGTAGATCCATCATCTCCTTTCATCTGCCTCGGACTTGGAGAACAATTGCTAGTCTCAGCCCCATTGTAGAGATCAGGAAACTGAAGCTCAGAGAGGTTGAGTAAGTCCTCCAAGGCCACACAGCTAATCCACATCAGAGGCAGGATTCCCAGTCCGACATTGTGACTGCAGCTGCTGCCCTCAGCCCCTGCGTGCTTCTGCCTGGACACAGGCTGGGGCGATTCTTGCTGCTTTCCACATGCAGGCTCATTATTTCCTCTGGATTCGCCGTACTTGGTCCGCCTGGGCGGGGCCGGGCCTGGGTATTTTCAAAAGTCACCCACATGATTAGAGCATAATATGAGCAGCCGGGACTGAAAAATGCTTTCTTGGGGTGTTGCTTGACCACGTTTCCCCGGGAGGCTAGCCTAGGAGCTCCCCGGGGTACCCAAAGATGCCCATGGCAGGTTTTCAGAGGCTGAGACTCACCCTCCTGAAACTAGCTGCTCCTTGAGACGCCCCTTTCTCACTCCCCGGGGGATGTGTGTCTGTCCCAGAGCAGAGGCCAACCCATTGCTCATGTCTCAGTGCTTGCCACCTGCATGCCTCCACCCAGTACAGCCTTACCCCAGCCACCACCTCCCCGCTCCCCTGCCACTGTATGGGCCTTGTGATGCCCACTCTTGGCCATAGATCTCTTGCAGGGAGCATCTCCCCCATCCTCACCTTCTCCTTGCCTGGGGTTCTCACTGCCTGCTACATGGCAATACCACCGGGGATGCCTGTTTTCCCTCAGTGTTTGGATAGAATGCATCCCAGCAGAACGCAGCCCTGAGTAGCTTTCAGGAGCTTCCAGGTGATTCCTCTAACACTGAGTCAAGGCTGAGGACACTGAAAAGAGATGACCCCAAAGGTCAATTCAGCTCCCTCCTGGCTTCCGGTCCTCTCCACCACCCACTGGCCATGTGACCTCAGGCGAGCCAGTTCTACCTCCGGAGGCCACAGACCCCTCCCCTGAGAAGGGGGACAAACTAGTGATACCCACCTGAGAGGGGTTTCTTGAGGACTGAGTGTGAAAGCACACATAGACCCTGGGGCACACAGTAAGTGCTCATGAGTGATCATCACGGCATCCGTCCATGCTGAAAGCTAGAGTGCTTTCTCAGAGCGCGGGAATTTCGGAGCAGTGCCCAGAGCCAGTTAGAAGCACCCAGCACAGTGTGTCCAGACCACCTAGATGGGAGAGCGCCCCCCTCCCGGGGGGGCGCGGTTGCTGCTGCAGAAACACAGCTAACGCCTGATGCCTTTCCAGCCTCCCTCCTGACTCCCTCCCCGAGGAGGGGGAGGACCCATGAGCACCAGTGCCCGCTTTGCCAGCCGGAGACGAGCAATCTCTCAAGTCAGCATTTGGACCGCTCCCAGCCTCTGCTGCCTATAGTGGATTTAACACCCACCGTCACAGCCCCAAGTTCACAGTTTCTGCGGGCTGCCGGAGGTCTCACGTGGAGAGACAGGCAGCAAATATTGTGACTCATGGCAGACAGAGTAGCTGCTGCGGTTTGCACCCGGGCTCCCTCTGTCGGGGCGGATTGGCTCTCCATGGACGGATGGACAGACGGCTGGCAGCCCAGGGAGGTAGGGAGGGGGCTGCAGGTCCCGCCCTGCCATCCCAGTGTGCTTGGACCAGTCCCTCTGCCCAGGGGTTAAGCACACCTTAAACATGCCTACAATATGTTTGCACCCTAATCCCCAGGTCGTACTTACATTTCACCGAAATTGTCACCTGAGTCTCCAGAATCCTGTTTAGGACCATACGTGTGGCTGTTAGAACCCTAAATTCTCATCTCTCTCTCTCTCCTTTTCTTTAATTTTTATTTGTCAGAGAGAGCGCACAAGCAGGGGGAGACGCAGGCAGAGGGAGAAGCAGACTCCATGCTGAGCAGGAAGCCCAATGTGGGGCTCGATCCCAGGACACTGGGGTCATGACCTGAGCCAAAGGCAGACACGCTTAACCACCAAGGTGTCCCCTAAATTCTCTTTTAGTCTACACAACACTTCTACATACACACATACCTTTTTCCTCCATTACATGGCTTACTTCAAGAGACCCAGCCTTTTAACCTGCAGATATGTCCCATCAACTGTGTTCATCCATCAGTCAGCCCCCTCCTGGTGGCTTTGTCAGCTCCTAAATCGCCAACAGCCGACCTCTGGGAGCCTCATGGCCAGCGTGGCGCCTAGTGCTTTGCAGGTCTTACCCCTGTGAACCTGCTCAGTTCAGTGAGATAGCTATCATTCTTCCCATTCAGTTGATGAGTAAACTGAGGCCCAAAGAAGGGAAGTGACTTGCCCTAGGTCACAAGGCAAGCGACAGTGAGATTTGAACCCATGTATCTGCGACTTCAGAGCCTTGTTCTTAGTGACTCTTCTGTGATAACGAGGGACCTCTCAAAGCCCCTCTCCAGTCCCTGCCCATTCATCTTAGCTGAGATGTCCTTCTGCCCCAGAGATGCCGGCTCAGGCCACCCCCTTGGCCATCCCTGCTGCCCACACCTTGGACCCCCTGTGGTCCTGCCCATGCTGCAAACAGGCCAAGTGACCGAACTGCAGGGGAGATCAATGGGTTCTCCTCTCTCAACTGCCCAGAGCCCCATGAACCCCGGGCACTGGGTTGAACAAGTGCCACACCCTGTGTCTTCTCCAAATGGATACAGACGAGCCTCAGTTTCCTCCGATGTAAATGCCAGGCAGTGTTTTAACCCGTCAGGTCTTAATCACAACTCCGTGCTCCAGGTGGTGTAGGACCCCAGTCCCTTATCTGAACCCCTGGGGCCCTGTGACTTGGCACTCCGAGTTTGCGGTTTTAGGGGATAGACCGCCTGGGCTTCCATCCTTCAGGGCCCCTGGGGCAGCATTGCTCCAAACTGCAGCCAAAGGTGTGAAAGAGGAAAGATCGTACAGAGGCGGTCAGCCCATGTTGCGTGTCCTTCCGGATGAGCTTCGATGCCAGGCTTCTGGGCTCGAGAGCACCTTGGAGTTGCGGGCCTGGGTAAATTCTCCCACTTGGCAGAGAAATAGACCCACACTCCCTCAGAGAGAAGTTCAGGGACTCTTGCCCAAGGCCTCGGACCTGAGAGGGGTGAAACCCAGCCTTGAACCCTACCCGACAGGCTGGATACCACCAGGCCTGTCTTTGTCTGATTAGAGTCGCAGGGCCCTGCATGGACCAGCCAGCGGGGGCTCAGATGCAGTCTTCGGTGGTGCGGGCCAAGACCAGGGGCGCTGGACCCCGGGTACGCTGGCTCAAGCTAGTACATCAAATCTGAGTCAGTCAGTCTTACTTTTTTCCCCATGTAAAGTTTGTAATGTGACAAACCAGGCTGCAGACAAATGGGTCAGTGTGGGGGGTTAGGCTGGGGTTTGGGGGACAGTCTGCTTCTTCCTGTAAACCGAGGAGAGACGGAGCAGGAATTGGGGAGCCACAGGCCGAGGGAGAGAGAAAGGCCCTTTCTGTCCTCCTG